CTCCCATCTGGACTGGGGAGGGTCTAGCCCTTACATTGTGCATATGTCCCTGTACACAATCCCAGCTACTTGGTTGTGCCGTTCTTTGTATCCTGTTCCTGCCTGCATCTTACACCCTGCCACTATGTATTGGACTGTCTATATATTCTTCTTCAAAACATGATGGAAAGGCTTATTCATTTTTTGATTCCTCAAAACCCAGATGTTACATGAAGTGACTTTAAGCCTTTCAGTCAACTATAACATTTTCCTTAGTTCAACTGATGCAGAACATTATCAATAATAATTATTTAAGCATTCAGGTGAGGTAGATGATATTTCTGGGGTGAAAAATACAGACTAGTTCTTTAGAGGATTAACTTTAGAAGATAACAAATTATTATCTCCTTATTATTGGAGGGATGTGATACATGATGTTTTCTTAAAAATAAGGGAATTGAATGCCTATAGTTGAGATGCATTTGGGGATTAGTATTAAGATTTCTCATGTTCAGTTACTGTGACGCTTTAGAAATCATGAAGTATCACTTTGCTAGTCTGGCTGCCTTAATTAAAAAAAATAGGCAGAAGCTTAGACTTGCAATTCTGCATCAGAAGACCATTTACATCCATACGTTTTCCTTTCATCAGGGTTGCATATGATAAGGATACTCCACTTTCAGCATTGTGCAGTTCTGTTGTCATGTAAATGATTTCATGTATGTATATATATCTTGCCTGTGAAGGGTTTTGACTTTATAGTTATAAGACAAGCAAGTAGTTTTTAAAAACAGGCTCAATGAAATAAAAATACTTTTATTTCCTTCCCAACTACTTGAGTCAAATCTAGATTAAATACATGTAGCATTTTCCATAATTTTTAAACCTGAAATCTTCTTTGGTGAAAAGCAAAATGATTTTATTTTTAGTGCCTTGAAAGAAATTTCTTCTGGATGGCATCTATGGAAAAATATAAAAACTGGGATCATGCCTTTTCTGAGGTGCTCTGCTATGTTTTTCCACTATTTAAATGGAGTTCCCATACCACCAGAATTGAAAGGTATTTTTTTAGTTGGCTATATTGACTTGAATCCTAATAATGCTTTCTGAATAGAAAATAGAAATAAATAAATAAATAAAAAATAGAAATAGAAATAGCTTCAGACTATTCAGGAAAAGAAATGCAATTTTCCAATTGCCCTGCCTCAATGTCCAGCCTTCTGAAACTGATTTTTCAGGTGTACAGGAGTCTAGTTGGGGTGAAAACATTAAAACGTTAGTGTAAATCACTTGAAAACTCTAATACAAATGATGTATGTGTGTGAGTGTGAATACATTTTTTGCATTAATTTTGTGGAGAAGTAGGGAAACTAAAGTAGGCTATATGTTTCCACTGTTACTTCTTTGTTATGATTTATGCATACAGTGGGGCAAAAAAGTATTTAGTCAGCCACCAATTGTGCATGTTCTCCCACTTAAAAAGATGAGAGAG